AAAGGGGTCAAAATCCCTAAATCGAATCCAAGCTCCCCTCGTGTTCTCTTCGGCTCCGATTTTCGTGTGCTGTCCGTCGTATTCTCTCCGGCGTGCTTGACGGCGAATCTTCCTCCTTCCTCCTTCTGGTTTCCTCCTTTCGGCTTCCTCCTTCCTCTTTCCGGCTTCCTCCTTCCTCCTCCAGCTTCCTCTTTCCTCTGGTAATTTCTTTTACTTCCTCTCTTGTTTTCTCTGAGCTTTTTTTCTGTGATCAACTCTAACTGATTTTGTTCTCTTTGAAACTGTAAATCGATAAAGGGAAGAGGCGGACGAAGCTTTCATCACTGATTAAGAAGAAGTTAGAGATCAATTTTCATCTCGGTTCATCCTTTCCCAAAATCGAAGGTTAGATTTTGAGATCTCCTTCGATGTGCATGTTCTAGTAAAACAGTGAGAAGAACTAGAAACTCAACTATTATCAAAAAAATTCAACTATAAACCGAGATGAAAATTGAGACCCTTTTTCGATATTGATTTGTTTTACATTGTGTTGATGTGCATGTATTAGTAAAACACTTAGATGCTTAGAAACTCAACTATTTTCACATTTATGTTTGACATGTAAAAGAGTACGATTTTACAAGAGGATTTTTTGGATTAGCTTTGTTATTTGAACTGAGTAGCTTACAATGTATATAATTTTGTGATTCTTTTGTGTACAATTTAACATGTAAAACCGATCAATTAAGTTATTGTTAAGAGTTTTTTACTTAGTGTGTCAATTGATACTGACTATCATGTTATTTAATCTCACTGTTTACAGGCATGGCTTTGGAGTATCCAAAATGCATTTTCGAAGAAGGCATTGAGCATCAGGTTGCTAAGATTAACAACACATGTAGACGTACAATTCTTGATATACTGAAGGTTGGTCTCAAGGATGAGTACGAGGAAGTGCAGAAAGACCCTGTCTTTGGTCCGCTTCTGGCCGTCAATGATAACAAGCTCATCTACTTAGGGAAGATTGTTCACAGCTTCATATGCAAGCAGTTGAAGGTTTCTAAGCTTCACGAGCTGTGGTTTCTGTTTGCAAAGAGGCCTCTTAGGTTTTTAATGCACGAGTTTTATACTGTGACTGGACTCAAGTACAAAGAGGAACCAGATATGAACTTTGATAGTTGGAAGAAGGATAAGGGGTTCTGAAGCACGGTGCTGAAGCAAAAAGAGAAGATCAACTTAATGTGTGTAAAGAAGGAACTCCTCCAAGTTTGCAACAAATGGACGTACGTGGACAGGGTGAGGCTAGTGTATCTCTGTGTTATTCAATCCTCCGGTCAATCTTCTTCTCCACAGCAATGGTCAGTGGCTGCAGATGCTTAGCACTTAAAGTTTTACGCTGAAAAAACCATCGACTCATCATCTCCCTTATGCTGTCCAACAAAGGTATAACCGGAAACTCTCTTGGCGAACGGAGAGTTGCATTTATGGACTCAGCAGGGTTAGTGTAACTAATATCATACCTGTAACCCGTAAAAGCACAACGAGCCCACTTTATCACATCTGCTTCTATTAGGTAGTTGCCTATTAGAGGATCAATGGACCAAATAGCACTGAAAATCTTCTGAAAATCAGCAACTCAATAGGCTTTAGAAGCCTTTGCAACCAAACCAGCGACACCTTTTGCCTTGTAACTTGATACTACATTGTTGATCAAGTGGTGAATGCAAATTCCATAATGAGATTGCGGATACACGTCCACAAGAGCTTTGCCAATTGAAAGGTTCCTATCAGAGACAAAAGCTAAACTGCGATCATCACCAATGACAACTTTAAGCTGTCTCATAAACCAGTCCCATGAGCGGTGATTCTCGGAGTCGACAACTCCAAATGCAATAGGATATAGATTTGAGTTTCCATCCAAAGCAGTAGCAACCAATAATACTCCTTTGTATTTGCTTTTCAAAAAAGTTCCATCCAAAACAATAACTTTCTGAATGGCAGCATGAAAACCACGAAGTGACTGACCAAATGAGATGAAGAGGAATTTAAATCTCCCATTGATATCGGTTTCATAAGCCGTGTGTGTTCCTGGATTAGCTTCCTTCATCATGTGCAAGTATTTGGGAATTTTAGCGTAACCTTGCTCAGGAATACCTCTCTATGTCTATTGCGTACTCACGGGCATCCCATGTTAAATAATATTATATCTCAACTCCATGCTCATCACGCATATAGCTGGTGATGTCATTAGGTTTCGGACCTTCCTTAGTGCTTTCATACTTGTGCATTACGAGGGAACCAACAGTTTTTGCTGAAGCTGTGCGGACAGAATTGCTCCTTGATGATGGAGCACATGTATGATAAGGTACATACTTTTTGATAATAAAATATGAAGACCCTGTTAATCCTTCTGCACGAACACGCCAGGTGCAATCATCATCTGCACAACGAATATACCAAACTTTTGTATCTGATTTGACAAGCTTATAGTCGAAATTGTGTTTCATTGCGCAGATTTCTAGTGTCACCTTCAAAGCCAATTTGCTTGTAAAATGCTGACCCTTCTTCACAACACCAACCAAAGAAAATCGGACAGGCTTTCCATTGATCATGTCTTGTTTATCATCTTCTTCAACCATGGTTTGACCATCAATAACGTGCACCACACGCTCTTCCTCTCTCTTAGGCGACTCAGTAGTCCCTTCTTCATTCAAGTCAAATTCGACGTTGATATTCCTTGTATCCACCTTAGATCGAACACACAAACATAACCGCGTAGAAGCTCTGATCTTCAGATATGTTAGAAAGTTTTTGAGTTGCCTATCATTGGTGATGAAAACAGGTGGCGAGTTGATGCTATTTATCGAATCTGAAGGTAAGTAACTCAACTCGATATTGACCATGTCTAGATCAATTCCAAAGTCTTCACACACAATCAACTTCAGGTGTTCAAACGATGAACTTGTGTTCACAGTTTGTAACCTACCTCCTTTTCCTTCATCAACAACAAATCGCCATCCATTGCTTACAGACGAGTTCCACGAACCACTTGAAGTATACATGTGCATCTTCATTGTTAGATAGCTTGGAAGTGGAAGAATTAAGAATAGAAGAGGTTTTTTCACGGTGAGAAGAAGAAGAAGACTCACGTTCAAGGCAAAATATATTTAAAAAGGAAATAAAAATATTTAGAGAATATTTACTTTCAGATTTTGCTAGATTTTCGGATGGTGACTCATAAACTGTTGGTAGAAGATACATTCTACCAAATTTTCCATTACTTTAACCAGTAGAAACGTAATCCCACGGGCCTAGATAAAACATTAAAATTAAGAAGATATGTTCTGCCAAGGTAGACGCATGGGTCTTTTTTATATGTTATGTTCTACTAAAACTGCAGAACAAAAAAGGAATGTCAGTTATCATATTCTTCAATCGTAGATGTATATGTTTTTGGTGTATTATGCATTCGAAGCCCTTTAGATGGATTAGTTGTTAGTAGATTGTACACTCTAAACAGCCGTAGATGGTATATCTGATTTACTACTAGATTTATCTAATTTTTGAAATTACTATTCCAAACATTTTTCGAATCTAAAAATATTTTTCATATATTCACATGCTACTCTATTTCATATTGTATATTTTTCCTCAATTTTTTACCTTGTAAATTTTTTACTTTGAATTTTTATATACAAAAAGGTTAGTGAAGGTCCAAAAGTACCAAAATTTGATTTTATTCTAAGGGAACAATAGTTGTGTTTTGGGAGAATTTCAATTTTACCACTTTGGTGGTACCACTTTTCATGTTTACCATCAACAAAGGAACATTTTCAAAAATACACATTTTATTAAAGGATAAAATACTCTTATATCATTGTTCTTTATATATATATAAAATAAATATTAAATAAAATATTAACTCTAAACTCTAAAACATCAATTCTAAACTCTATACCCTAAAAAGTAAACCCTAAACCCTAAAAATCAACCCTTAAACCCTAAAATATCAATTCTAAACCTTAAACCCTAAACTCTAAACTCTAAACCGTAAAAACTAAACCCTAAACCCTAAAAAATCAACACTAAAACCTAAACTATCAATCCTAAACCCAAAACCTTAAACCTTAAATTCTAATAGTATTTTAACTATGAAAATTTTAATGGTAAAGTTGGTTAGTGTAAAGTTGAAAAGTGATATTTTGAAATTGTTATTTCTGGCAATTTCCCTTGTGTTTTTTGATTCTCTTTTGGCAAATTTCCCATGAAATTTTGGTTACTTTCTGATTATTTTTACAAAAAAAAAGGTTACTTTCTGATTATTTTTACAAAAAAAAAAAGTTACTTTCTGATTATTTTTCTTTTAAATTATTTTGTTTTCTGTATCTTAAATTATATTACATTCAAAGCATATTTTCTTTACAGCTATTGAAACACATATTATACGTTTATCAACAAAATTAGTGCAAGTATCTTATTCTCACAAAATAAAATAATTTTTTTGGGTATCTTTATGGTGACCACAATTTAAAACTAGATATTTTAGAATAATGTATATTCATAATATAAAAATATTTTTTATATTTATTTTATGATATACATATATGAAATAAGAATCTCAAATTGAAAAATCTTCATTGGAAGTGCTCTAAATTAGTTTTATTTACTTTTTGATATATTTATATCTCAATATTTTTTAGTAAATACTTAAAAAATTAGTTTGGAATGTTATTATAGCATGTAGATTTATATTTATAACTCTGCAGTTTACTTTTCAAATTCTTAAAGTTTGTTTTGTCAGATTTTGAAAAATTATTGTCAAGTTTGATCATTTTATTACCAAAAATATATCCAAAAACATTTTAACTTAACATACTATTTTCCCTTCACACAACACAAAGACAATATATCTCAAGAAGTGTAGAAAACATCCTTGTCACGGTTTATGCTTATTCTCCGGTCACCATGTGTCACCTCCTCCTAAACCAGGATTCTTCCTCTTCACACACCGCTTTACTAAGAAAAGCCAAAAACTTTCTTCCATTTCCTCGTGCCTAAAACGAGAATCTTCTCCTGTCTCTCAACACTAATCTCTTTTTTTGTTCCGATCAAAAGATTCAAACTTGCGCGCGCTTTCCTTAACTTTGTAGGAAATGTATCAGTGGAACTTACCGTACCGGAAAGATGACGTGGAAGCAGGCGGTGGCTCAAGGTCAAGACCTTTATACCCAACGATGCATGAAACTCCCGAGCTCAGGTGGGGATTCATACGCAAGGTTTACTCTATAATCGCCTTTCAGCTTCTAGCCACCGTCGCAGTCTCTGCCACTGTGGTCACCGTCCGCCCAATCGCTCTGTTTTTCGCCACCACCGGAGCTGGATTAGGTCTCTACATAGTCATCATCATCACCCCCTTCATAGGTAACCAAATTACATTAAGACATCAAAAAGTTTCAAATTTTGGATTTAATTAATTATATGTGTTGTTTTTTGCCCGGTTTAGTGTTGTGTCCGTTGTACTATTACCATCAGAAACATCCGGTGAACTATTTACTCTTGGGGGTGTTCACTTTGGCTTTGGCTTTTGTCGTTGGATTGACATGTGCCTTCACCAATGGTAAGATTATTCATGATTTGTTTCAATGTTTCTGGTTCCATTTGTGTATGAAGTCTTTTTGGAACAGGGAAAGTGATTCTTGAGTCAGCGATCTTGACAACGGCTGTTGTGCTTTCCCTCACCGTGTACACCTTCTGGGGTGCTAAGAGAGGGCATGACTTCAATTTCCTCGGACCATTCTTGTTTGGTGCTCTCATCGTGCTCATTGTCTTTGCCATGATACAAGTAACGCCACTTGCTCCATACTCTCGCCACAAGCATTGCATAGAGTGGGGAGGTTTTTGGCTTTAGCTAGTGAAATGTAGTAGCATTTTTTTTTACGCTAATTAAAAGGTATAAACTTGATTGTTTCGGTAGAGGTTTAAATAGAATGGTTTAGCCTAGTTAATTTAGTAATTTTCAGGTAGAAGTCAGAAACTTGCACTTCACGCATTAGCTGATGGGTTTTGGTAACATTTTTTTTAGGCTAAGAAATTAGAAGCTTGAGTTCACTATAGTCAGCGTTGGATTGCATAATTGATGTTTATGGTGTGCAGGTTTTTTTCCCATTAGGAAGGACATCGGTGATGATCTATGGTTTCTTGGCATCGATTATATTCTGCGGGTACATCGTCTATGATACAGACAATCTGATCAAAAGATACACATACGATGAGTATATCTGGGCGGCAATTTCGCTCTACCTGGACATCATCAATCTCTTCTTGTCTCTTCTCACTATATTTAGAGCATTACAGAGATAGATGATTTGGGATAAGGAGGGAGTTAAAGGTTTCTTGATCTGTAGAAAATGTTGTAATAAGATGTGTGTTTTGTATTAGATATTCTGGTTACGGTTCACATGTTCATGCGATTGTAGAGGAAACAGAGCAGTGGATCAATAAATGATTATAAAGGAAATTTCACACTTTAAACGCATATTCAACTTCCTACTTTATTTTGATTCTCTAGTTTCTGCAAGATCGAACCAAGTTTTTCTAGAACTTTTCTCTTGTTTACTTCTATGTTCAGATCCATGAATTCTTCAAAAATCTCCAATTCATATGACTCTGATAATAATAATTATGGGGAACAAGGGATACACATTTCCTTCACCACTTAAACGTAAAACAAGACACAAAACGTCTACAACACTGCCACAAAGACAAAGAAAAACATATGTTTGTGGAAAGCTTCACACAAACAGAGGTCCAAAACACTGACACAATACTTGTCACTGCGTAACCAAAACAAGAAAACCAAAGATAGTAGAGACAAAGGAACTACGATGAAGCATCAACAGCAGAGAGGAGCAGCAGCTTGTACAGGTCCCCTGTTACAAAGTCAAGGAACTTGTATAAAGCTAGACACTCGTATTCATAACATGGGAGAGTTAAAAGAGCTGCAAAAATGTACCTGGTGAGCAGAATAGGCAGGATCACGAAACACCAAGGAAACTTTTAAGTAAGACCGGTATCAACAATAACCTGAGGAATGTCTTTAACCAAAAGTATTGGCTTCCATCTGGATGAATCTTTACCAATAGACTAGAGACAGTCAAAGAGGGTTGGTCACAAGAAAGAGCTTCCTATTCCCTTCTTCCTTGTACAAAAAAAAATCAGGAAAGGGCTGAAGAGGAAGGTCACTAAACAGAAGTAGCAAGATTTACATCTTTTTAGGCTTGACAGAAACGAAATAGAAGGAAGAGAAAAAGACTCAAAGGCATGAAAGGGTTAAAAGAAAAGATATGAACAAGGAGGGCGAAATAAGAGGAAAGGAGACAGGAACCTAGTTGCTATATCTAACCCACTTAAGAAAAGAAGCCAAAGGGAAAATAGACGACTGTAAAAGAGAAACTATACAAAGGGCATAGAGGACTGCTAATACACCACATGAAGTTAGAGCATTCACCCAGGGTATATTTTAGATAGAGACTGGTGAATTTTAAGCCATCCTAAATGCTAAACCAAGAATCAAGTCTTCTTATCCACGAGTCTTCCTGAATAGTTCTGCTGACTAAGATGCTCGCTCCACCATTATTAACACACCCCAAACTGCAAAGAAGGAGATCCAGCAACTGCTGACAAACTCTGCGTGAAGGCTGCTTCCATATTAAACAAAATCAAACCAGGTTGGTGACTAACACCTTATTCAGAAAACTAAACCCTAAACCCCTGTTCCCCCAAAAGAGAGTCTCGTGATGTTCATTCAACGTCTGCAGTCTCAAGGTTGAGCAAGCGACGCAGTGTCATAGTGGCAGAGACAGTAGTGTGAAAAGGGTAGTCAGGACATGATGTTGGAGAAGATTTAGCAACTTCACAGAAATCAACATCAGGGTCGGGAGCTGGAAAGCTCAAAGACACAGTCCTCTTATGGCGGAGAGAGAACTTAGGCATTGGCACAGAAGTGGGTGGAGGAGAGTTGGAGTAAGTAGGACCTGCCCAAAGCTCAGAGTAAGAAAGGCTTCTCCTTTTGTCAACAAAAAACTCACTAGAAGACCGAGAGCCTCTGCTGCTAGCAATGGGAATGGGACTGGTCCGAGGGCAATCAAAGACAGGCAAAACGGAGTTGGGAGAAGGAGGGGAGTGAGCATGAGGAAGAGGAAGAGGAAGAGGCCCTTTGGTTATAGGAGTTGAAGAGGTTCTCTTTGAAGGCCTTGGAAGCAAACCTACTCCATAATGAAAAACTCTGCAATTGATTTTCCTGAAAGTTTTGGAAGGAGCTGATCTAAACCCATCACTATGTGCAAGAGTTTTCTTCCCATAATACTGATTCCTATGTTCTGCAGTTAAGATAAGCGTTTCCATTTTCGAAGATATCAAACTCAAAAACACTTTCACTCGATTCAAAGGCAAACTCTTGTTGAATCACGGGATCTGATGCCCAGCTCGTTACTAAAGCTGAAAGCAAACAGTTCAAAGCATCGAGTGAGTCATCATCACATAGGAAGAAACAGTAATCAAAAGATCCTGAAAAGGTAAGAGATTCCATATTCACCTGGAGGAGGAAGGAAAGAGAGATGCTTTCTTCTTTACTAGCAGAGGATCAGTGATCTATTGAACGAATACCTATTTAGGGTTTTTAAAACCTTCCTCCATGGAAACGACGGATCTGAGAAATGAGAGGTATATCAGAGCACTTTTCCTTTCTTTTTAAGTGGCACAGTTTACTGCATGATTCCATTTACTATTTTACCCTCCTCCTTTTTACATGGATTATTTGCATTCTTCTAGTTTCTACAACTGCGGATTCTTGGAAATCGAGTTTAGTCATTTTCCAAAAACTGTATTTAAGTTAAGTATTGGGGAATTAGGCCATATAGCAATAGAAAAAACCATAATTGGGTCAGTAGCAAAAAAACCTGACAGATACACTCACGTCGTTAGTTATATATATTAATACTGTATTACCCTTTAACTAAACCGCTTTCACCGGAAGAAAAAAAAAGTCATAATTTATTCTCTTGGTTTTCCACTGTAAGTCGTGTCTTACCTAACTCCACCAATTATTTCACATCTCCCACTAACTTTGACGCAAGCAAAATGTCTCCGAGAACTCCACAACTTAATCTCTCGAAACTGTTTTATTCTCTGTGAAATTCACTGTCTTCGACATCGACAACCCGACCACTTCGGCTCTGTTACTCGTCATCTCGTCTAAATTTAAAACTGAAACAAACCTTTGAATTCAAGCTTTAGTATCATGTTCGTCCTTCTCCCATGTCTTGCCAATTGCATGTAAATTCTATAGTTTTCATAACTAGATCCATACGGTTTTGGTCCATTCCAAGCACAATGGAATAGAAAATCCAGATTTGGGATGTTTTCTATGTTATTTAGGGTTTCATCCAGACTTGCGCATTCCATTCCATTTGATGTGGAGTTTACATCAAAAGCTGGGGTTTCTATTTGCGTTTTCTGGCTTAGATTTTCGTTAAGGGTTAACTTATTTGTGATTAGGGTATAGTGTTAAGTGGGTCTGTTGGGTTTAGGGTTAACTTATTGGAGATTAGGGTATAGTATCTAAATAAATATATATTCCATTCCATGTACATAGAATGGAATATATTTCTATACCATTCCGGATGGATTGGATTGAAGCTATATATGTGGTAAGCCTACTTAATAGATAACGGAATGGAACATGTGAATATAAAAACGGAATGGAAGGGATGATCTATGTAGAATGGAACAGAAATAGTTAACATGTTCCTCTATGCGATTCATACGCTTGGTGATTTAACTCACCTACAATTAACGAACACGTCATTTAGTTTTATACCATGTAACTGGATACCTGCTAGTGGAAAGGGTAATACCGGATGAAAAAGAGGCTAAATGTCAAAGACTACATTACGTCAACATCAATGTTATATACTTAATATACATCCCAGATTTGGCTACTGAGCTAATAAGCCCTTAAGTATTCGGTCAAATTGCTATCTAACTATTTGTGCATGGGAAAGAGAGACCTTAACGTCATTCACATTTATCAAATCTAATTATTTCATTATTTTACGTTAATGCTGGAGGTCGATAAGTTTCTTTCTTTATTGTAGTAAGACACCTATACCACCATTAATTTTATGCTAATATCACTTTCTTATCCATAACTGACGATGATAATTTCCATATTCAGTTTCGGAATGAATCATTGATTATGAAATGTATAATTGATTATGGTCCAGCTTAGGGCTGGGTAAAAATCTCATATCCAAAAAACCGATCCAAATCCGATCCAAAATAGTAGTATTGAATCCGAACTAAAATTGATTCAATATTCAAATGGGTTCAAAATTTTGGTATTTAAAGAATCGAAACCAAACCCACCCCAAACTAAAGTATTTCGGATACTTAAATATATCCGAAAGAGATTTATATACTTATACATATTAATTATTTTAGATTTAATGTATAGAAAAAATATTCAATATATATAAAATACTTTGAAGTTATTCAAAATACTTATGAATATATGTAAATAGTCAAACATACATGTCTAAAATTTCTAAAATACACTCAAAACATCAAAAATATTTTAAAAAGTTTCTCTCAGCCCTACTCTGAAGTATGCAAAAAAAAAAAGAAAAAAGTATGAGAGAACGATCGCTTCTCAAATCAAAACTATAATGAATTTGTGAAAAGTCCATATAACATATGGTGAAAACTTTATAAACATTATCATTGAGATGTAGGAAAAACGGCCATTTCATACCCAACCTATTGCGATATGTTCAATTCATACCCGACTTATATGGTCGTGCCAAAACATACCTGAACTTACATGATCCTGTCAAAACATACCCGATTTATAATTTTTAGACAAAATCATACATTAGTCGCCACATCAGCTGCCACATCAGCTGCCACATCATCTATATTTATCCACATGGATGCTACGTCCACTAATTTTGATGACAAAGATGTTATGTGTACAATTTTTTTGTTTCGAAATAAATAGTCATTTAAGAAAAATATTTTACTTAGAAAATGTAAAAAGTTTATAAACTTTTATTATTAGTAATATTAACAAAATTAATTAATTAATTAAATTTTAATCTTATATAAGAGATATATTGGTAAATGTTTTGATCATATCACAAACCGTCCTTACGAAAGTTATATGTGTTGTAATGATTCAATTCAGTATTACTGTTGCAATTTTGTTACGCTTTATCATAAGTCAGATATGTTTTGGCACAATTATATAAGTTAAGGTATGTTTTGGCACGACCATATAAGTCGGGTATGGATTGAACATATCGCGATAGGTTGGGTATGAAATGGCCATTTTCCCTTGAGATGTATTATGTTAACATGGAAGGTTTACTTACCACCATTATATTGAACACGCAATTCCATCACCAAAGCTTTCATTTGCGACTCCCATATGTAACTTATCTTTGTTTTGATTTTTCTCCAAAGCTTCCGAGTATTGGTAGAGTTTTGTTAGGACCATTCCTTAAATATTTCAGAGATTCTATGCCTTGGATTGGATGTTTTTTTTAATATATTTATTAAATGTTCTACTCAAAAGGGGAAATCGAAACAGTACAACGCCCTAATGTTCGGTGAGAAACAGAGGTTCTAGGTTACAAAGAGAGTACAAGCATCCATAAGACTAACAAGATAAGAAACAGAAAAGGTTGGGGGAAAGAAGCCTCTAGAACCGATAAGTTCTGACTGCAAAAGGAACGCCGGCAAGTTTCAGGTCTGGTCAAAGCGACTTCCGACGGCCAGAGCATCCAAATCCAGCACTAGATTCGTCATTGTTGACTGTCTGAGTATGCTCACCTTTGGAGGAGCCCTGCGGTCCCAACACGCCGAGATCCAGAGGACCTGACTCCAAACCCTAATCGTGTCCAATCACCCAAAGAGTCGCCGTCTCCAAGTCCGAGAGACCACACACTACTCCACCTTCATTCCGATGGAAATACAGCCGCACCGGACACTACAAGAAAACTCTTCCTTTACTAGGACGGATTTTCCTCGTTATTTCCTAGTAAATGGTCATTTACTAGGAAATAACGAGGAAACGCGTTTCGTCGAAAGACGTTCATCGTAAAGCATATTTTCCTCGTAATGTCCTAGCTCATTTACGAGGAAACATTTCCTCGTAAACGCGTGGATAAGTTTTCCTCGTAAGGTCCTCGTAGCTTTTCCTCGTAATGTCATAGTAAATTGTTTCCTCGTAATCTCGTAGTACGATCTTTACGAGGAACTTACTAGGAAAACTTACTAGGACTTTACTTCGAAACCTTTACGAGGATTTTGCTTCGAAATAATTTTTTCCTATTTAAAAAAAAAATATTTATAAATTAAAAATTATATATATTAAAAAATTAAAAAAACCAAATTATAAATAAAAAAATAAATAACAAAATATTTATAAATAACTAAATAATATACAATTAATAAGTTTTAAAATTCATAATATACAATTAAAAACTAAAAAAAAAAACTAAAAGGGATGCTGCTAGTGAAATTGTTGCACGAAGTCGTCCTCTCCAATGTTGGATGCCGGCTGTGACTGTGATGGTGGAGGCTGTTGGGGTGGAAGGGCTCCGTTTTCCCGTCTCTGACGCAACATCTCCGCCACTTGCGGGTTTCTAACCGCCATAATGTCGACGATCTCGGTGAGCGTACTCACATGAGACTGCGTTGCCTGCAACTCCGTCCGCAGCTGAGCATTGGCATTGTCCTGTTGGTGAACATAAGCCGATGTCACTGCGGGGACATCGTTAACCGAGCCAATCCCGACAATACGGTCCTTTTTCTTAGGGACGACATGTAAATAAAAATATTAATAACGTAAGGAAAAATTTAAATAAATAATAAAAATTAATATTAAAACAAATTATTTACCTCCTCGTAAATCTTATCCACTTCAAGAGTGGATAATACGACTGGAGCCCCAGTCTGCTGAGTCAGCTGGGTCTGGCGTTCGTCAACTCGGGCAACAACCTCATTGTAGATCCGCTCGGAAGCAGGATCTACAAACTGCCCACCCTTTTTCCGGTGGGTCCGCTCGTAAAGGTCTTTCAGAGATGGAAGAACTTCTGTCTCTTTAGCCTAAATTTTTTTTAAAAAATTAAATATTAATTTGGAATATTCAAATAAAGTAAAAATTAAATAGTTATAAAAAATCATCTTACCATGTCTAGACGAACTCCCCCGTGAGGTTTTCGGCCCGTGGTGTGAAGCATCTTCGTGTTGCCATACTCGTCTGTGGTCATGCGGTTCCCGGAGTTTGTCTAGGAGGTTCTGATCGAGTCCGGCAACTCCCAATAGCTGATGGGGCCATCCCA